GTCAAAATGGGATTCTATTAGGAACACTCGTATCTATAGTCGAGTAGAAGTAATCACTCGAGTTTAAGTACTACTATATTTTTTTGATAACGCAGGGTAATGCACATTAGGCTTTAAACTAGGACTCTCCAACCAGCCCGCCCTGATAAGGGCAGGTTTGACGTGGTTAATTTAAAACCCGCTGCGATTAACCTAACGCGGATAGGAGGAACCCGGTATCCTGCAAAGAGGGCCTTGTTAATAGCTAATATAAGCTAATAGAACTGTTAATAGCTAATAATAGTAGTATTTTAACTATTTAAATTTCTTACTTCATTCTGATTATTGTTTATTAGGTAAAAATATCTGCGTTATTCATAACATATTCTTAAGTAATTACTTGACTATATATACGAGCGTAAGATTCCGCTGTCACCAGGTTTTATCTCATGAACCGTCATAGTTAGATAGTTGAAATATATGTATTTCTATAACCGTTCCAACAATAAATAAACAATTAGCATGAAATAAATATTTAACGTGTTTTTCATGGATAATGGTACGGAATTCTCTGTGTTTTCGAGTTCGACTCGCACTTGACTGGTTCTTTTCATATACTCTGTATTTGTACGGATAAATAAAATGTTTGGCATCCACATTTTCCTGACCAATTGTGGTTACTGGAATAAATGTGAATTGGAAATTCGGTTTTTCGCTCGCTATTTTCACTCTCTGGTTTGTTTCACGTTTTCATTTTGAAGAAGAAAAATGGACATTGTGAACAGTCTGTATAAATGAAAGAAATATAAAAAGTCAAGTTTATTAAATGTAACTTTCCGTTGTAACGTTTCCCCCCCTTATACACCCATATAATTATAAATAGTTAATTATATTTAAAAGAATTATTTAAAATAAAACTTTAATAGAATAAATATTAACAAAATATTGGCCATCATTATAAGTTGTGATCGTCTAGTGGCAGGACTCCTCGTTGTGTATTGTATTTGTAGCAACCTTAGATTCTTTGTATGAAGGTGATTGTGAGTGGTTAGAGTATATGTTATTGAGGGCATGTAAAAGACTAGATTTTAAACTAATAAATTAAACAAACCTAAAAGATGATAAAACATTGTCATGCATAAAATAATAAAAGTAAAAGTTTTCTCTTTGGTAAGTAAATAAAATATAAGAAACTGTTTATAAAATAAGGCTTAAAATATTAAAAGAAAATTATAAAATCAGTATATAGGGTAGGAAAGGATATAAGGTAAGTAAACACCAGCAATGCCAGGGAATATGTATAAAAAATAAGAAAATAAATACAGCATTGCTAATGTTTAAAGTGCTTTCGAGCCCCAACCACGCTCAAAGCCCGGGGCCCACCACACGGCCCCTTAACCATTATTAACTCTAAGCGGTCCAGCAAGGAATACCTTTCTAACCAAAAATAAGACTACACCTCCATCAAACAAAAAGAATTGCTCTGCAAAAGAGCAAAAGAAAACCCTATGTGGTTCGTTAATATACCCAGACTGATGTCCTCCATAAAGACAATGGAACATAGTTCGACATAGCATCAATTGTCGTCCACCGGTACCAAGGGGAATGCGCCCTTTGGACCACTCCAGTACGGGATACGGCGAGAACTAACACCATATCGAACAGGACCTCACCAAAATGGAACACACATCCAGGAACATTAGATACCACATCAGAAGGACAATAAAGCGAAGTCCCACAATTATTCGTCAATATAACAGGCTTATTTGCCGTCCACTGAGCTGATGGCACAGGTAATCAACCGAGCTATCTCACACGCTTCCGATACTGGCGGTGATCACCATCCTGACCCAGCATGAGATAGGGATCATTGATACTGATATCTCACCGAACCATACATTCAAATGACGGACAACACCTGCGATATTAACGAATGATCGGAACAACCCAATACTGTGACTTCTTTGAAAACTATGAAAACCTAGTAATAAAATTTAGTACGAACAGACTCAAAAGAGTCCAAATAAGAAAAGTGAAACACATAAGAATTCTCATTCCAAACTGGACCGCTAGAAATTGAAATTGAAAATTAGAATTATGAAACTGACTAGATTAATTCAAAGTGGTTATTTTCTTATGTCAGGTTAGTTATGTGGTATTCGAGTAGTATGTTATGTATATAAATAGATAGTATAATATAAAACATCTGAAAGACATAATTATAAAGTAATTAATGATAAAACACACAAATTGCACAAAGAAACATTAGCCTAATCCTACCTCCCTACTTTTAATAAGCCTACGTTCCCTAATGGCACTTACTTGTGGTCCAAAGCGGAAGCCCTGGACCCAAAACTTGCCAAAGATCCTCTGCCTATCCTCAGCCTTATACAGCCCACGACGTCCCGAGTTCCGTCTCCGTTGATGTGCCTCACCAAAAAAGCCCCTAACCCGATCTCACGTTCCCTTTTATACCTCTCCCCCCCAGAATCCCTTCCCGCCGGCTTTTATTACCGATCACAAGTATCCACCAATCACGAACGAGTTTATAAGATTTCGTTTTGGCGCCAATCCCCGAACTGTCATGAATTCCGCCACGAAATATTTTGATATTAATGTCAAGATATTTAGTATATTATTTATTTATTAAGGTAGTTGTTAGTTTTGCATGTTTTTCCTTTTAAGAACTCAAAATTATTTTCTAAGGATTTCCTATATTTCTTTGTCAGACGTAGCGCCATCTAGTATCAATTACTGGAAGTAGTTAGAGATTACCCTTTAGAATATCTACTTATCAGTCTTAATTGTGCGATTAGTATATCATGGTCGATAGATGGAGTGTTACTTTATTACTGAATGTTCAGTCGCTTCCCAAACCTAAGGTAAACCTTGCCTTTTCAAATTTGTTTTCTTTTTATTTATTTAAATTAATGGTGACATATTTATTATATACGTGTATAGTGCGGTGTGAACCGTTACACCGTCAGCGGCTTTGCCCGCGTGTATTAAATGTAGCTTTCCGTCAGCGGCTTTGCCCGCGTGGTCAGTAGAACTATTTAGTGAGATATGTATTCTATTATCTAATTAAGCTAATACCCTATCTATATACCGAATTTGATCAAAATCTGTTCAATAGCTTCTGCGTGATTGACGGACAAACATCCAAACAAAGAAACTTTCACATTTATAATATTAATAGGATACAGTGTAGAAAGTATGGTGTGTGTGTGTATTTCTCTGTAAATAAGTTTGTTTAATGTACCTATTAAATTTTATTTGAGATGAAAATGTGTTAATGGGAACTAGTATTATTGACATATATTTTAATGTTTTTTTAACCTGTAAAACAGCTTATCTCGGATTGCTGGTTATTCATTCAGGTACTGTAAATATAATATATACCTACTTGTTTCTTATATATTTACACGCACTACTCATGAAATGAAACTTCTTTTAAACGGTTTTATCAGGTGTATTTTTCATAAATTATTTCATTTTCAGACGTTTTGGATCCTTTACAGGTTCTGTGTTCATTAGACTATAATATCGGTAATTTCTTTCTGGACTAAAGGTTTTCTTTCTGGAAAGGTTGACTTTCTGGGCTTTCTTTCTAAACAACTTATTTAGTTCAATTTAATAACTGGCTGTATTCCTGCAAGTTTGTCCTTATAAAATATAGCTTAGTAGGTTTAAGAATTTTTAAATCATTCTAGTAGTTTCCGAGACTATTCAATACAAATAAACAAATATTTCCCTTTTTTAATATTAGTATAGATAATATCTTATAATACTGAAATAAGGAACCTGAAGAACTGAAATACCTCTTATTATGAATATGTGAAATAAGGAACATTTGGTAATTTACAACGTACAACATCCAGACCACAAACAATATAGAATATTTCTAGATCGACCTCATGACCTTGTAACCTTGAAATAGGAGTGTTAGCAATTCGGGTCGTTAAATTATCCACACATAAATTACGTATTGCTTTGGTTTTCGTTAGTTGGTTCGTGGTCACAGTTGACTGACTTAAAGCTCTTCAGGGAATTTGCGATTTGTACTCAAGTGAACGTCGCGCCTTAATATAAAAAATATACTTTGGTGAATTCCAGTAATTGTACAGGACACTTACGGTCAGTTGCACAAACATCCATTAGGGTTTAATGACATCTTTAAGCTCTAATGAATATCAAATTTCGCTTTAAATTCGCTTTAAATTGATGACAATTTTAATGGACGTTTGTGCAACTGACCGTTAGCTGGTTTGTTGTCATCAATAACCTTCATTGCTGTTTCAGTTGTCTTTCTTTATCCCAGGTTCTTCTCTGATCGGTTAATGTAGATAATGACTATAATTATCGGTTAATGTTGATAATGACGTTATAATGTTTGCGTAAATATAGAAAGCGCTTCAACTACTGTCCTTTATGACATAGCTCTTGTTACTAGATCACAAAATAAGAAATAAATCTGTCACTTAATAATTAATAATTTGTGAGGCAGATATTGCACAATAATATTGGACTTCAGGTAGATAGTACAATGGACAAAATGATGCGGTCATTACGTAAAAATTAGCACAACTGAGGCCCTGGTCCTGGTCTCTCACTGTTGGGTGGAGGTTCCGATGTACTAGAGACTATTGTGTTGTGAGGTTGGCTCATGCATTACGTACGACACAAAAAGGGATTTGGTTGTTATGGTATCTACGTTGTTTAATTAAATCCATATATTATTAAAGAAAAATGTTTAAAAATCCACCAGTTCAGACACTCTGAGATGGGACTCCAACCCACGACCTTTCGCAATTCAGGTGACTGTTTTTTTTAATGCGAAAGGTCCGTGGGTTCGAGTCCCATCCCATTCCCATTTTTCATTAAGAATATTATCCAGTGTAGCATTGTAAATGCAAAATTGATGAAATATTATGAATAAGATCTCTTCGATATCCGATCAATATATGTAATTTGCCCAATTTTTATTATTATTCTCAATTTTCTTATTGTTATTGTTGCAGGTTCAGATTTTACGTTTACTCGGCGTATGTTGAACGACGCTCGGTGGCGGTGGTGCGTGTGATAGCGGCGACCAAGACGCGCGGCCCCGATTCTGTCATATGCCGACTGTGGCTACCAGACAACCGGACGCTCACACTGAAAGCAAGGGTTAAGGTAGGTTTTTTATTCCACGTCTGGAGGATAGGGCTCAAGTGTCTCTGAGCCAGTGGCGTAGCTAGGTAACCTAGGGCCCTGGGGCAAATAAAAAAATGGGGCCCACTGCTATCAAAACTGGTAAGGGTTATTGAAGTAAAATCATTAAATATACAAATACATTAAAATGCTAAGCAACTTTATCATCAGCTCTTTTTCGTGCATGGGCAGGTAATAAAACTATTAAACACTAACAACATAAATTACAATTATTTTTATACTTGGTGTAGGTATTGGGCAATAAAACGAAATAGAAAAGATTCAAGGGTTTATTATATATTTATTTATTCATAGATACGTTGCACCAGCTTACTGTTATTTAACCTATCGCCATGCAAGCTATTTACAAAGATTATCAATAGAAATATTTTGTCCAGAAGTACTTGCAGAAGGCTGACTAAAAAACTTGTCAATTTTGGGCAATTTTTGTTTACTTTCTTCTCTTTCTTGGCGTTGTTTGCGTTTAAATGCACCACTGGGTTTCTTTTTTTTTGTCCATAATAATAGTTTTCTAATTTATTTATGCAATATTTATGTAAGATTGTACTTAAGTAGGTACTCACTGTTCACTGACAACGTTACTAGTAAAAGGAAAGCGAAACGTAATGATACGATACAAGACGTCGTTGGGGAATCCCCGGCAAACATTTTATCGCCGCCAGTGTTACCACATTTGACGGTTTAAAAAATGACAAAAAACATCACGCAATTAATGGACGGCCCCCTACGGTATTTTAGCATTGTAGCGACGGTATTTTGAGTTATATAGTGAGTAGCCGAAATCTATAGATTTCTTTACGTAACTATGTATACGTACTATAATCAAATAAAATTGAACTTTTGTATGGACCAGTACAAAAAATTTATTGACATACGCTTACTTACTCCTGATACATTAACTTTTTAACCATTCTCGAAAAAAAATCTTGACTCGAAGTTCACAATCGCGAATCACAAAAACGCATATCGATAAATAATAATATGCAGATATTGATATCCGACAAATTGATGAAAACATTAATAACACTGTCAACCCACACAAATAATTTAAAGGAATTCCCTTTTTATAACTTTGGAATTTCTCACAACTGAGTTGCCATGATTTAACTCGAGTTGTCACCTGCCATATTTATTTTGAAAATGGTAGAAATTTTCAAAAGTTGAGTGAGGTAAAGATTCGAGGGCCCCCTGAGCTTGAGGGCCCCGGGGCACTGCCCCGCCTAGCCCCTTGGTAGCTACGCCACTGCTCTGAGCCATACCCCCAATACGCGCTGGGACCCGCCATGCAAATCGTGGGTCAGAACTGGTGGCGAAGTGTGCGGTAAGACAGCTCGGCTGTTACCGTGCATCATCCGCTATAAGGGGAAACATCGGTTGGTTTTATTGGGTATGCTCTTACATTTCGACTATCTAAGGAGGAGCCCTAGGAGAGAGCCTCACATAACCTCGTACAGTCACGCAGGTGAAGCGACGTACGCAGTAATGTGTTGCCCACCAAAAAAAAAAAAATATTTATTACTAATTGTGTTAGTATGGATATTCAAATAAGTAACATTTACTACTAAAAACTCATCACCCAGGCTCGGTGCAGAACAGAGGGTGTTAACGATTGCTGATGTAGTCCAGACCCAGTGTTTGACATACCTCTTGACTCATGCTGAAGTTTGAGACCATAGAATGTTGGTCACTCTTCTATAAAAAATATTTTCGACTACGAACGTGAAATCGCTGTTACCGCTAATATAATAGAAATCATTTCGTTTGCAGGCGATTAGAGAAAATTGGAATTTGAAGTACAGTGCCACGTACGTGCTGTGTCTACTGCGTGACACTGGTGTGAAGCCACAGGACACAGTGGGTGCATCCATATCAGTTTTGGCGGCTAATTCACCAAACCGGTCGCCCACGAATCTGTTGATCGTACTAGACACAGAACCCAAGAGTGGTATAGAAGTATGTGTTAACATATTTACAACCATACATATAATAAAGCCTGTGTATCCGATTTCATTTAATTGATTACTATCCAACTTTTCAATTGATAAGATATATATTTTATTGCATCATTAAAAAGTTTCCATTAAATATTATTTCTTAGACAACACTAGGCTCAAAGAAAACTAATTGAGAAAAATATCGGCGGATTAGGGCATTAGAAAAAAACAGAACAAGATTACATCTATAAAAGTAAATATAATGTTGCAATAGAATTCTGTTCTGTGAAACATTTGTAATCTAAGGGGGCCTTCGTAACTCGAATGAAAAATTTGGTTTAGCCAAGCATATAATACAACTTGTTATAATACAACTAATTCGATATGTTTCCTAATTTTTTTAAAGTTTAATGTCGCAGTAGACGTGACTTGAGACTTTTATTTAACTCATATGGCGGAGCAAAACAAGTTCCGAATCTCCTGAACCGATTTCAAAAATTCTTTAAGAAATGGGAAGCGAGATATAGCCTTGTTTGTATCTTAAAAAAAAACGTAAATTACAGCCTTTGTCACCCGTGAATGATACACGAGTGACAAAGATTATAATTAACGCAGACAAGTAGGCGAGTAAACAGCTAGTGCACAATAATATGTATGTTGATGTGTTTCCGAATTAATTCAAATGACTCGACAAACCCAATATAGTATAAAATAATTTGTTCGGAAACGAAATTCTAATTAGGTACTGAATAAAACATAAAACAAGAAAATGTTCCCATCTGGAAAAGATAAGACAGTTCTGGTTGTGTTTTAGATAAAAAAAAGCACAATATGCACATTAGGGTAAATTGTTGCGACGCCCACGTTGAGAATTAAAGACCATAAAGGATAATGACGTGTAAACGTTTTGAGTGTGTAGGTAGTTTAGAAGATCCGATTTCAGCTAATGTCCTTATTTTTGGCAATTTTAAAATTCAAGACATTCGAACTTATGCATAGGCAAACATATAGCTCTAAAAATGCATTATGGAAATACCAATACCGTTGATAGTGGAATGTCTCAAAAGTTTACTTCCTCGTAACTCTTTAAATAATCTTAAAATGATCAAAACTGAAATCTGCCTTATTTTACGGGCGAGAAGATAGCTCTATAAATTCTGTATATTTAATTACAGGAAACACTCCATATATGTGTGAAACCTTTCCACTTCTCTTACAATCGCGATGATTGGCTAGTAGAATGGTTCGAGTTCAATCGTCTTTTGGGCGCGAGCCACTTTTACATGTACAACGAGTCGTTGAGTACTCCAGTTGGCTGCCTGCTGGATCACTATCGCAAGCAGGGTTTAGTTACGCTGCTACCATGGAAGCTGCCCATCATATCAAAAGTTGAAATCAGGTCAGAATACATGTTTGGTATTTGTTTTCTGTATGAATACTGATGTAGACAAAGGTTTTTGTTATCACTCTCATTTCTGGAATCTTGTAGATTAGGAATCAATCATAGGTATATATTATTCATATTATAAAGAAAATATTGACAGTATCGTATCGAAATTGTATTTTAACCTCTCAGCACTCCAATAGAGATCTTGAGTCATTCTACAGTACAAAAACAGGTGGGGACGATTATACTAACTCATAACATACTAATATTACCAGTTCCAGGGGCTAGAGATAAGGTTAGAACGTATAACCTTAGCATAATCCAGACAACTGCTCTGGTTAATGAGCTACCCGAACCCTTACTAAGAGTGACAAATTTCTGAAGCACTGTTTATTCTTATCAATGATTAAAATCAAAGAGTTGTTCGTAAATATGAAATTTTGTTCAACTTTCGAACTCGTTGTTTGGATTTCAGGACGGAGGGTCAGTTTGCCGCATTCAACGATTGTCTGTACCGGTCCATGTCTAAAGCTGGCTGGCTTCTAGTAATAGATGTGGACGAATTGGTAGTGCCAAGACGTGAGCGGAATCTACCCGCATTGTTGACAGCACTCAGAGCGTCCTATAGTCCGCCGTCAAAAGCTCCGGCAGCGTTCTTGTTCAGGAACGCCTTCTTTTATTTACGATGGGATGTAAGTTTTGAGGCCACTTTTACTTATAAAAGGAATTAGTAAGATAAACTTGAATTTTTCATAATTTTCATACCTAACAACGGTTAAAGGCCAATTACAAAGCTATTCTTTTTAATCTGTTGACAAGCAATTTAACGATGCAAGAGTATCAACTTATATATTTTATTAGATATTAGATGAATTACACAATTAACATACCTACCCTACATTAAGATTAGTGTAAGGTGAGATTCCCCATTTTGTTGTATCAAATCTACAATATTACAATTTTATATACTCAAAAGTGGGAATAATATAATTTTAAGCTACATTTAATTTTCCATCAATATAATCAACGTTTAACAGTTTTAGCTACTTTGAGCTAGTTATGTGATTTAATGTGAACAATAAATTGATATCCAAATTATTTCGTAGGACGACACGGAAGCGCCTGCTTCACTGGTGACCGCTCGTAAGACTCGCAGATGGGCGACACCGCATGCGTTGAAGAATAGGAGCAAGTACGCGCTCCGGCCGCGAGATGCCGTGGAGCTCGGCAACCATTTTGTGTGGGAGCACTCGCCCGGTGCTTCGTCAGCCGGCGTGCCCACCGAGAGGGCGCTTCTACATCACTATAGAGTTAGTTTATTTTTTATTTTATTTAGGGGTTATTTATAAAATACCAGCTAATTAGTGATGAAAGTTTCATAAACATTCGAAATATCGAGTTCGATATAAAGCGGCTACAGTTGCGGTTACAGTCGATATCTGAATATCTGATACATTGTTTGACAAAGCCCATATATCGATATTTATAGATTTATTTTTGAGTCTTAAGTAAATTAAAAAATCATAAACGTATTTAAAAAATGGGCCTATAATTGGTGGCGGCTACTATCTAGCGACTATGCCTGTTCGTAATTCGTGTAATTTTGGGTCCAGTGCGCCCGTACTATATCCCAATCTTGACCTGAGAAACGTGACGTTTTGTGTAGACAAAAAATTTTTCGATCTTGTCATTCTTTGCGTGCTGCTTTTAAAGTAAATGCCCTATTGACATTTTAAATAGATTCTGTTTAAATTGGTGAAAACACATTATTTTGAAATTAAATACATATTATAACAAAATCTACTACAAATTTTCAAGCAAAAAATTAGTGTTACAAAACAATATCAGACCGTATTACTAATGTGTGACACATGTGAAAATGCCGTTAGATGTTAAAAATTGGACAGATTATATACATTTACTCTTAGGATTTCATTCGATATGTTGGTTTTTCAATATCGATATTTCTGGGCGTCGATATCGTTGCATCCCTACAGCTGGTCAGCAGGTTTTACCTTACTCGATAAAATAAGGAACCATTATGTCAGAGGCAACTTTAATAAAGATATTATGTTTCATTTCAGATTGCCTGTGAGTACGGTGGTGTAAATTGCCTAACTGTACCGTCAACAGTCGATCGTACAGCTCACAGGTGGTCTGAGGAATTACTACAGCGGGTCATCCATGAACGGGAACTGCTGATCAAAGACTGTCCAGCGTAATCACTAAATGAAAGTGTGTTGAACTATATCAATAGTATATGGACTAGGTCTTCAAATCGTGAAAAATATATTTGCCAACATTATTTATTACAATACGGCGAACTTTGAAAGAATACAGACCTACTAACGCTAAGAAAATGGAACTTTAACTAGTCTTAGCAAAAATATCTCGAGCTGTTATCAGCAGACATATAGTACTTTATTGTACATTTTTAGTTTTTTATGCAAAAAGATGTTAAATATTTTTTTTTGTAAACAATTGAGTTTCTGTGATAAAGCTCTATGGTAGCCTAGAAATTTAGTCGATTGGCTTGTATATACTTACTTGTTATTATGTACAAATTTAACCTAGATCTCGATTAAAAAAATATATATAATCTAGCTTTTGCCCGCGACTTCGTCCGCGTGATATAGTTACTTTGGGCATCATATTTTCCAAAAACGCTGTTGTTTTTTGAGCTGATGATGAAATTACCTTGATGTTTAAGTTCGAAGATAGTACAACAAAATACCAACGAATGTCCAATATGTTTCAGCACTTTATCTTTGAAACTTTAGAGATATTAATCCAATTCAATGCAATTTGAAAAAAGATGAAAATAAAAAACAGTTCTGAAGTTTAAACAAAAGTTCAGAACTGTTTTTTTTTTCATCAAAATCATCAAAAACGAAATCTACGCAAAGTTCTTTGAAAGAAACGTTACCGCAGATTACTTAAGAATAAACGCCATCTAGAACACAGCGCCATCTATTGGGTGTTACCGCAGATTACTTTAGAATAAACGCCATCTAGATCACAGCGCCATCTATTGGGTGTATTTGCAACCTAGATGTCAAACGATATTGAAGAATTTTATCTATGAATCACGGTACACCGCCATCTATGAGAACTTCATAAAACTAAACAGTAAATAAACACTTGCTTAAGAAACAATTAATTAGTACATTTTATTCGTTTACATTCACGACATAAGCGAATAATTGAGATGATATCTATCCTATCCAGTAAGTTAGACCAAAATACGGGTACATGTGAAATTTGATTGATATCGGTTTAGTCGTTTTGGAGTTTATTGGCAACATACATCGTGACACACAATTTTTATATATACTATATAAGATGTATGTACACAAAAAAGTACACCGTTACTATATTTTACCATCAGTTAGACAAATTAAAAAACAAGATAAATTAAAACCTAACACACGTAACTAATTGCGTTTACCAAAGAATTGTAATTCCCTATTCCACTGACAGAAGTATATTATTATACTTGATCAATTTTGCTTCCATAATGCATTACTGAAAAATGCTTTAAAAAATCACTTTGTTCCTGGCACTTTGAGATGAATGGGAATAATTAGAACAAATTTTCGTCTTTATTGAAAATTTAAAGATCTCAGTACAATATGTGAAATCAGCACCTAATATCATCAAAGCAGAAGTAAACTCAAGACATATAAATAGAAAAGTCTATCGAATTTACATTCACTATATTTCCGAAGGTAATGACTACAATAGTATTCTTCGTTATTGCTGTGATTGCCCCAATGGCAAACGTACAGTGGGATGCTGTTCTCATGTAGCAGCTATTATTTATTATCTATCATATGGATGATATTTGTCCAAAATCGTACGTCCTGCTGAGGTCCTAACTAAGTTATTTGCGACTCAAAGTGTTCCGATTGTAATTAATTACAACAGTGACGATGATTAATATTTTGTTTCTTGTATTTTGATAGACACGAAAAAGTAATAATAATAAGTATTGAACACTGGCTGTTTTTTTTTTTTTCATTTCTTTTTTAACTATTATCCCATCTCTTAAGACTATTTACTTATGTTTCAAAACAAGCTGATGTGAAATTTCGAAAAAAAAAACAATGATATAATGTGAAAACCTTTTTGTAAAAATATTTCTTTCTGGCTGTTGTCTGAAAATTGATGAAAATACCCTCTGTAGTAGCGAAAAAGTTACAAGTGCTTGACAAATTTGTCAGTGCTGCTAGGACTTCGGTAGCTCAGTGGTTAGAGCAGACGCACGGATTGCGAAAGGTCATGGGTTTGAGTCCCATCTCAGAGTGCCAGGGACAAAGTGGATTAGTTTATCTACAACTTTTCACAGAAAATTACGAGTGAAAATGATGACATGACATTAGTCACAACACTCTCTGAAACGTGACTAAACTGGCAATTGCTTTGCTTTCTTGTTGTCAATGTTGTGCGCAGATAATCCATCTAAACTTTTTAATACATCATTAGTTGAATGCGATAATTATTGATACAAATTTTCAAATTTGGAACATTTATTAGAGTTTGAAGTCGTTGTTTAACTTTAAATGACGTTTAACTGACCATCAAAATTACTCATTTTGTGCAGAATATTAAAGCATATTACGACAAGCAACAAAGAAATTGCTCAAAACAGAATAATAAATGTGCACCGAGGAACTTAGCTCTCCGCCACCTTTAGATGATTGTGGCTTACGCTTCGTTCATATATTTCTCATTCTACGAGTGTTTTTAAAGGATTCCCTGTACAAAGTGTAGGATCGTGAAATTTCCTCGATTTGTACATAAGGTTGCAGTTTACTATAATATATAAAATTTCCACAGTTGATGTTGAAGTCTACTCTCAAAGCATTAAGGTTTAAAATCAACTGGAGAAATTCGAAAGATTTGTATAATGACATGCTGTTGACTGTACATACAGTTTCTCTAAGACAAATCGTCTACAATACTTTTAATCACTATACATTTTGTAAAAAATACAAATTTTGTAGTTTTAATATACGTATATTTTGTAATAAGAAATTGTAAGTACTGAATATATTTTGCACGCTTTGTAAATTCAATTAACAGTCGAATTACTGACAATATATTATTGTATGCCCAAAATAAGCAATAGTTATACTGACTAGAACGACATTATTTATAGAATTACCCAAATTTATAACGTCAACAATAATTTTAGGTTTGATTTAATTTATTAATATTATTTATTTAAATTGTATCGGAACTCTTTTTGCGTTAAATAAATCTAGATGATTTCAAATATATATTTTAATTCTAATAAAGTCACAGGTAATGAGCAAATATTTAGAAAATACAAGTTTACCATATCAAATATGCGATTATCAAATAATTGGGATGGAATTTGGTAATATACAATACCATAACACATTAAAAATATACAAATATCATCTTTTTCCCACTTATCGGTTAATTAAAGTACTTATATGTATTATATGTGTTTTTAAATACAAACTTTAATGGAAATCCTATAGTAAATAAAACACCAATAAATTAGATAAAAATTGTGCCATTATGGTGTTATATTTAAATAATTACCCGTTATATTGCTCAATGAATCGGTAACATTGTCAGTATTAATGCGTTCCTGCTTTGTTTTATAAATATATATCAGTCAGTAGTGAATTTTCAACTGTTGACAACAACTGGTACTGAATTTATTATGCAGTTTACAGTAAATAGTGATAAACAAATTTATGAATGTTAAAGTTACGACCGAAGTCGGTTAAAAAGTAGTCAACAAAAAGTGTTTTTACCCTTGCAGTAATATTATGACAGTATTCATCTCCGACATCTCAGATAACAGACAATAGATCACATTTAAGTATCTAAACTCTGCTAGAAATATCAACGTAGCTCTATAGCTAATTTTAAAGGCCTAATTTTTAGTTTTTGGGAGATCTAACTATTTAGATCTCTCAAAAACTAAAAATTAGGCCAGTGACTTTCGGACAGTTTTGAACGGGTTTATAGATAGAAATAGATAGTGTTGCCCCAGTCTAAATTTGGTTTCAATTTTGACAAGAACTAAGTAAACTGCAGTTATTTTTAGATGACCACAGAATTACAGGTTAGATTTTTTTTTTAGTTTAGAGAGTGGTGCAGACTAGGCCTCAACGCCTCGCGGTTAAACCCTTTGTAAAAATGTTTTTTTTTTTTTATCTGGTTGTACTTTTAAATTACCGTATACCGTAGTTGTCGCACTGAAATACGTGCATTGTTATAACTACAACTATTTTCCAATAATATTACCGCGCTATTAATAAGTGTATGCCTGATAAATAAGTATATACCTATAATATATAGAAATAGTATGATGAAAATTTACTGCTGACTAGTCTTTTGTATTGATGACTTTGTAATAAAATTATAAAAAGACCTCTACGTGAGTACATAATTGATTGTAATGAGAATAGAATTAACATTGTAAATATTATATTTTATCCATTAACATAAGAGCACACATGTCTGTAGCTACGTTTGGACTATGAAATGTTGTTTAGCCATATGATTTAATTATTTGTAAGCTATCTGATAGGTTTACTGAACACGAGATAAAATGATTAAAATATATAAACTACCTATTGATGTAATCATATATTTTGTTACAGCGCATATTTCTTATATTTAAATAATAAGCTAACCTCAATCTGGAGCTTGCTTAAATCTTCAAAAGTTTGTTTAAATTTTTCAAGAGTTAAGCAGGTTCCGTAGTCACGTTATATGATATATGTTAACTACTAGGTACAACCTATTTGAACCAACTTAAAACTGGAATCTGTGACTTATTATTATGCATCCCTCCCTTACAAGAATGTTTACTGGATCTTATATATCACGCAAATCACAAATAAAAATATATTTCACTCACGGCAGATCATATTTGCACACCATACATTGAAAATTATGTCGTCAGCCCAGACTTCAAGTTAATTCGTACGCAGGCCAATTCTGGTAATGCTTATGTAATCATCGCATATCAATAGAACCTCAACTAGTTGCATTTTGCCAGTGAATTATCTACCTAAAGTATAATATTATTAGAAAAATGTCTTCCTCGCACATCAATGGTGATATATATTTATAATAATATTGGAGTTCAGGTAGATTGAGATGCGATTATTACATTAACATTACCAGAATTGCCCTGCTGGTTGTACCCCTATATTTAATTAGATTACTTTTCTTAATAGTTTAAATAGGCTATTTATGTTATGTTGACTCGCTCTGTTGACTTTTATATTATAAAATATAAGATCAGAAACGGCAGTGATATGTTTTGAGAGTTTTACTCAATACACTAAAAACAATATAACGCCTTTATGCATGATACTGTCAATAAAAGGAATGCTTATATAAATTCAGGAGTAGCAAATTCATTGTAAAAGTACTAAAAGTATACTCTAACCAACAAACGTAATTAAAATGGGATTATTTCAATCAAAATGTTCAAGTTAAAAAAGTTTCAGAAGTTTCCACTTTTAAAATTCAACGATGGTGAATATACCTTCTTTATTATATGTGATATTTGAAAATTTATGTACGAGTGCTTGATGAGTGATTTGTATTGTCATAGATTTTCGTTATGTCACATAATTTTGTGTTTATTTTTAGTATTTATTCAAAACGTTTTTCGATGCTTTATTTGTCTCAATACTGTATCATTTGTCTCTTGATTTGGTCTCTTTCTCTACACCCTAAAGGCGTGTATCCACATTATGAGGCTACTCGCGAAGTTGCTCACTTGAGCAATAGTCTTGAAGCACCAAGAT